CGAACAGCTTCTATCCATTGATGTTCAGGAGTTTAGAGCCTGGGCGTTTTGTTGATAAGAGTCCAACAATGTCGAGTTAGTACTTTATAGCATCATCAACTAATTCTTGTTCTTTACCTCTGAATGAGAATATGTTCCAATTTCCGACTTTTAGCACCCACTGGTATGTCGTTCTCGTGGAGCCTTTTCTGACATGCTGTAATGGCATCGCGCTGTCTGCCTCATCCGTTCAGAACAGGTAGCGACTCCGTTGCTGATTGGCGTCTTCATCGTCGTTCCGTCGGTCTTCGTCAGCCGTTGTTTCGCCGCTACGGTGACGACTGGCATAAGGCGATGAGCAGGTTCTGATCGCCGACTTTTCGCAGTCTGCCTGTCTTCTAACAGCTTGGGAGGCCCCTGATATCACGGCGACGAACGAGCCGGTATAATTTTCGATGATGTCAATACCATGAAGGGCAGGAGACTAAATTTTATGGCAACTTCGCCTCGGTCTCCAAGTCTGCAACCCCTGTCCCTTCTGAAGGTGGCTTAGGACCGAGAGCGGCGAAGTTATTTTAGCTATCAAATAGATTTATTGTAGACAATCCCTGGTTTAAATAACCTTACGGTACTGAAGTCAGTAAAAATTACAAAAACAACATAACAGCGGTAGATCTTAACATAACGAGAAAGTTCAAAAGTATGAGGAACATAATCCAATCAGGCTGAAGGCAAAACAACACTTCATAATTCATAATGCACTGCATATGAAGGCACAAAACTGTAAGGACGAGAAGCCATATCAGTATTTAAGAACAAATCGGCATCAGATAGCACAGCTGACTAAACGTTACACCCTATTTTAAAACTGAGGATAAAAGTTAAGGAGAAGGATTTGCATATCACAAGTCAGTTTTAACCAAATAGTCTGTTTTGGAGCAAGAGCAACGCACCCCAGGAGATACTGTGGTGCTAACCTCCTCCATGAGGCCATTAACTTCAGGTAAAGGCCTCCGAAAAAGTGTACTGTAAACCTAAATAAAACGCAGATTAAGTCACTTACAACTAGATAACTCAACGCTCAAAACCTCAAGAGCTTGAACGTAATAACAAATAACTTCTTTTGGAAGCAGATACGCATCAACGAACGATTGCATGTTAGCGACGATGTGACGACTCTAAAATACAAAATGTTCAAGAAATAACAACGAAATAAAAGCAAAAGACAAACAAGTCAATAAGAAGCACGCAGAAAAATTTCTTTCTCTTCCTAGGTATCTTTGTTAATAAAAAACAGTTGCTCGACTAAAGGTCCTCACTGTTCTTCGATCTCCTAAGATCTTCATTCTTTCGTCCCTAGTCTGCAGCCAGCCCCTCAGTTCTTCTGAACGCTTCTTGAGACCAGTACCTGAAAGCTAGCTACTCATCTGCGACCCAGGAGTACAATCGCATTAGGAGAATACGTCAGAGCTAACATTATTGAACAGGCCAAGGAGAACTCAACGACATTTCAAGTGGCGTGGTGGAACAGTTGCCTGAAAGGTCTGCTTTGGATTCCAGAGGCGCATAGTTCGATTCCGTAAGACGGCAATCTTTGTCTTATTCAAGAATTTTCGTGAGCAAGGAATTTACCAAACACTGCTTCAGACCGAGGTTGTTCAGTGGGTAGAGTGCCGAATTCACAACCTATAAGTTCCCGAGTTCAAGCCTCGGTTGGGTTCACTCGCCCCTTTTCCTTCCGTGCTTGATAAATGAGTACTACTCTGTGGGAAGGAAACAGGAGACATCAAGCTATGCTAGGCAGTACACTCTGTCTTTAAAATACGGCATTCCTGACTGATGGCATAGAACGGGAGATCAGCACGGCACTATCAACTTAACGAAAAGAAGGGCGCCAAAATAGTGCAATCCTGAAAGTGGAGGAAGACCGACATTCGAATGGTTACTAACTTTCCTTTTTTTCCATGACGTTTCAGGGGATAAGAAATGATTCAACGATACACATCAACATCACGAATTCAACCGCTCTGGACATAATGATCTTTATTGGTCTTCTTCTAGCCTGATCTGCATTCTACAGTTTCCAAAAATTCGCCGATGCTGATCCAGTGAGACAGGTCACCCCGGAACCAATGCAACCTTCATCAGCAAAACTAGTTCTAAGATACTTAAACGGTTTTATTCTTCTATCGATCCATTGCGTCATAGTTTCCTTCGCCAGTCAATCGTCGTGGATGCCCTTATAATCTCTGTTTTGCTGGCGCAGATTTGTAACCCTGCTTTCAAAGCCTTACTGTACACACATCTGATAAGCATCAAAAGGTCACTTGCGGAGTCACACGATGCGAGCCATACATTCAGGATCCCTTAAGAGTGCTGCTGCAAGCCCTGAACTGTACCTGAATAATGGGTAGTACATCTGTATCTTTGAATAAAGCTAGTATGCGTAAAATCATCCTACGCGATGATCCATAAATTGGAGAAAGTATATTGTCATGATGATCATGTGCTTCTGCGATTGGTTTAGTTTTAATAACGTCATGACAGGGTACTGCTGTTCCCCACTCAAATTCGAGAATACGTAATGGAGTTTCAGGTACTGTAACATACGCCGGGTGAGGTACACCTGAGTTCCTTTTCACGAATCGCCAAATAATGAAAGCCTATGATTTATCGCGAAATGGTCGATGATAAGGTCGGGAAAAATCAGGAGCAAACAAATCTTGTCACGCCATCCTTTTCCACCAAATTCGCACAATTTCAAGAACATTATGACTAGAAACCCCCGATTATGCAAAATATCGACATCCGGACAAAGGAAGATGGGTTATACTTCCTTAGTGGGAAATAAGTAACTGGTGATTCGTAGCTGTAAATATAATACAAAGCAATCGTAACAGAATAAACTGAACGGAATGATAAGCCTATAAACGACGCTTCGTCAGAACAAGAGTTCGCTGTCAATGCTATTAGATACTGCCGATTTGGAAAAAGATCATGTGACCGAAAAAATGATGGTTAAAGCCTAGCGATTAAAAGCTAATATCCCACTATGGTGTCTAATACATCGATTGTAAGCTCTTACTTGCAGCATTGCCACAACTAATATCATCGTCATATAAACCTAACAGAACTTAAAAGACAAAGTTCTCCACAACAGTGATATCTGATCCGCTAGAAATGGCAAACATTACTCAATGCAAAATTACGAATCGCAGAAGGCCAGCGACAAACGTAAAATGTCGCTTTAACCGATTCGAACAATACACTAAACCTGAACGCAACAATCTTACCCTTGCATCATGTGCCATTGCCCATTTGACCTGGTCGACTAGATTTGATAAATCACGTCGCACAGGAACAAAATGTGTCCAGGGCTTTAGGAGCGAGTAGAAGTGCTCTTCGTAGTGCGAGTCCTGCTTGAATATTAAGCTGTTTCCGGCCATAAGAAACGGAAATCGATATGCGGCGACTGTACCATCTACATTCAC